AAAGAAAATGACCCAAAAGCTGAAGCTTGAACTTTACTTGGAAAATAACATCTGGAGAGATCGCAGAGTTATAAACATGGACTTCTTCTGCTTTAGCCAAATGTATTTTAAACATTTTGAACATGTAGATATTCTTCATAGTTTCAGACTGTGGAAGGTGGTGGAGTAGTCATTCCTGCTCGTTGATTTTGGGTTGGCGATGGCGGAGAGGGCGGTATCTTGCCTGCTTTCAAACTTCGGGAAGGCAACTTTCTTGTGCTTTAAATGGACAGACTTTCACTTCCGGAGCAGCCATGATCTCTGCCAAGAAACATCTTCGTCCAACTACTTCCACAGAAAAGAATATTCGATGGACTCTTCTCTGCACCTTTTACAACAAAGAAAGTGATAAACACCAGGTTGAGCATATAATTTAGCTAGTTATCAAGCAATCAAGTTAAATGGGAGAACAGAATATATACCAAAAGGAACTAAAGCAGAAATCGTCGGCAGGTGACCCGTGATGAGAAGTAACACCGCTAGGGTTGTCGCCAACTTCACCAGGGAACCACTCCTGGCAGAGGTAGAAGACCGAAGCTTCATCTTTTTGTACAACCGTAAACTCTAGGACACTGAGACGCAAGGGCATATCCTGATATTTATGGGTGGTTAATGGATGAATCACGTAACCTTGGGCTAGATTCTTTCTAGATTTGACTCTGACTTTGATGGCTGTGGCTTACCGTCTGCTTGTGTAGCTCTTCAAACCGACTGAGATACTCATTTCTCATGGAGTTTGACTTGAAAATCTGCGACCACCATCTTCACGATCAGCATGCTTACAATGAGGACTAATGGAAGCATGCATTTATCTATATCAGGATCTCAAACTGTAAGACTGACATAGTCTTAAACTAAACAGGCTGATATTTTTCCTTTCCTCTCCGAACAATGCAGACTTGTAGCGCCTAAGTGCCGGACGCATTTCCTCCGTATGCCCATTCATGCAGTGCAGAAGCAAATTCAACAGACAACAGTCATGAAAAAAATCTTTATTAATTAATTGTATCTTAAATATATAAATATGATAAAATTTTCTCTATGCATTATTGATTGATTTTAAACAAGATATTCGTCTTAAAAGATTCAACATGAAATTAGAGTAAAAATCTCTAATATTGATTTATGTTACATGATAAATTCATGATGTTTGCACAACATAAAATATTAAATTAATAAATTCAACTTGGCTGCGTCAATCTGAATATAAAATTCATTAATACAGCTTGACTCTTGTCAGTTGTCGCCATTGGGAAGCCATAATAATGGTCTCTTTTCCATCAAGTTGCCAAGGAGCCCAATCAAATCAACTTGAGAGAGAAGCAGTTGGACCTGAGTCGCAAAGTTCAAACCATGTGTGCGGGTTAGAGGGAATAATCCCCATTAGCTATATCAATAGCCTAGCACTTTTCACACCAAGGACGAAACAATGTCGACAAAGGAAAGCTTGTCGCTTCGTCCATATGGTTAGAGAGGTGGAATCCCCATGCTTGTTGCATATTATTTGCTAGTCCAAACCACACCCTAAGTTCTATCTGCTTCAATCCTCGTTTCTGTGTCCTTATGATTTATCAAACAAATCAACCCAATGTAGGAAGGCCATCTTTGATTGAATCAGAGGCCTTCAAAGTCCATAAAAGGAAAACATATGAGAGTATTTTTTAGATTTTAGAATTATTACAGAGATAATTGAAAATTGAATTTATCTTGAAGTTCGAGTTTAGTGCGTGCAATATAAGAACTTGTAAATACCGACTTACCAGGGATTGCTTCTAAGATTATCCAAAGTCTAAACACTGACAACTTAACCATTTTTAACTTATTTTTCACTTTCTAAAAACATTCACCAGTTGCATGTGCAAGGTAATTAAGGTCAAATGGACGATTTGTTGGGTAATTGCACAAGCATTTACATTGTAGCTTTGAAAAATTTAATTATTAGAGAGAATATCTTGGCTTTTATTGCTTATTCATTAACACTGTTAATGCGTGCTCTTTGCAGGGATTCGAATTTGCTTGTAATGGAATATCTATTGTTATATTCTCTTGTGAAGCAGGCAACATTGTTATTATGTTCTACCATGAGTATTTGACCTCATCAGAGGAGATTCTCTTCTGTTAGAATGGTCCTTCAATCTCGTTGACAACAAAGATCAGAGATTGATGATGAGTCAAGATTGACTGCTGTCATAAGTTTAAACTTCGAATACAAGAAGAAAATGTGCAAAATCCAATCCTAAAAGATTTGAACAGTGAGTATAGCTTCACCTTGAACTTTTATGTATGGAGTAACATCCAGAAAACAGAGCACTAAACATGGAATTTTCCTTCCTTGTTCATCATCTGGTTCTCCCTTTACCTGTCTATGTAGATACTCAATATGCTATCGGAGGGGGTGGTGCAGGTGGTACGCCCATAATTTTTTGCTGATTTCTGGTGGGTGATGGTGGAGAGGACAGTACCTTGCCTAATTTCCGAAACTTTCTGTTGCTAGAAATGACCAGACTTTCCTGTCTAGAGTAGCCATCTTTGCCCGGAAACGTCTTCCTCAAGCTACTTCCGCCAAAAAGAACAGTAGATGGGCTCTTCTCTGGACCTTTCAGAACATATAAAGTGATAAAACCAAGTGAGACACGATAAATAAATATACCTCTACCTCATAATGTCAATAACATCAGTAAATGCACCATAAAATGTGAAGGAAGTCAAACGCAAGAAGAAGAACGAGGATCAATACAGCTAGTCAAGTAGTCGAACAAGCTTTGGCATAAATCAGAATGAAAAATAAATATACCAGAAGGAACTAAAGCAGAAGTTGCTGCAAGTTCGCCCATGAGAAGAAGTAACAGCGCTAGGGCTGTTGCCAATTTCACCAGAGAACCACTCATCACAGAATTTGAAGACTGCTGGTTCATATTTTGATAGAGCTCTGGGACATTTAGAGCACAAGGATTCTTTTTATAAGCTAAATTGCCCAATTTTTTATACATTGTGTAAGGTGGATAAAGGAAACAGGTAACCTTGGGCTAAGTTTTTCTAAGTTGACTCTTGACTTTGAGGTTATGGTTGAGCCTTTACTTCTATAGCCTTCAAAGAAAGTGCAATGAAATTTCGGTAGGTGGCTTTGCTTGAACTATTCCTGTAGTGCCTAATGCAAGGAGAACAGTTTGTGAATGAGCCGCACAGATAGAACACCCATGAGAAAATGTTTATGCATCAGATCGATGCCAAGTATCGAGGTTTACAGATCCTTATAGAGGAAAGGGGAAGCATGCAGAAGACAAATTGAGCCAAATGATAAAACAGGCTCCCCAAACCCCATGTTGCAGAAGCCTTGTGCACTGGGCTCCCCAAACCAATTAGGCAGACTCACACTGTTAGCAGCAAATTCAACAGTAACTATTCCAATACTTGTTTAGCTCGTGATAAGCATGTTTGAGCTATAAAAATAATAATCTAATTCATAAACCTAAATATTTCTATTCATGCAGTAGGTGGCAAAATTCAATGATGCAGTTGGCACCACATCAACCATGGAAATGAGAGAAAACAGGTGAGTTAGGCATAAATACAAACAGTAGATGGGCGGAGATTCAGTGTTAAAAGGATACTTCCACCAAGTTAAAACCAACTGAACTGAGTAGCAGAACATACCACATCAACCATGAAATGGAGTCCACATATCGGCATAACACTTCAAAGAACGCGGAAGCGCCTTCTTCCACTCATCAGGATCCGGCAATTCGCCGGTTAAAGCAAGGGAACTATCATCTTTTCTATTCCCCAAATTCAATACAAAAAGCTTGTCACCGAAAACCCTGTGCATCGCCTTCAAAGTCTCTTCCATCACCGCCTTCCCGTCTCTCCGTGAATCCTCAGCCTCCACGCAACTACCCCCGACGTTCACCATGATTCTCCCGCCTTTTCTCAAACCCTTCCTCAACCTCTGCCACGTGTTCGGATCCTGAAGCTCCGGTATCAAACTACCTTTGCTGAATAAATCGACTAAAATGCCTGAAAACCCGTTTTTAATGCTAGCTTTCAATGCATTCCCGATGTAAATGTAAAGCCTATCTGCGTATTGTTTTTCAAGCTTTCCAAGGCCAAAATATTCTCTTCCAACTGCAACCACAGATGGGTCAAGTTCCCATCCATGGATTATCAACTCTGGGTATAATTCAAGCATCAAACGGGCCGTGGAGCCCGCCCCGAACCCGAGAATGCCAACGGGACCCGGGGGTAAAACGGGAGGCAAAGTGGCGAAAACGTCGAAGTAAGTGTTGGTGAGTAATTGGAAGAGAAACGAAATGCTATGGATGTTTCCAGGGGAATCAAGGAGGAGTAGTCTAGAGCCCGCGAAAGGGTGGTCGGCTCTTCGAGAAACTTCCAGAACGCGGATATAGTTGTGCCTGGTTTTGAATTTGGCAATGATTTTGACGTCCTCGATCGGGATGCCATCGTCTTGGGTCTTTGTTTGGGGTTTAGGTTGATCGGTTTGGCCGGATTTCGGTGGTGGTAGACGGAGATGGATCGGTTTTGGAGGCATTGCGGGGAAGAAATGGTGGGTTAATAGGCCTGGTTTGAGAGGGTGGCGGGTAATTTGAATTGGACAGGGGATAAACGGTCGAGTTTGGTAGGAAATTGAGCATTGGGACAAGGCTTTGTTCCACATCTCTCGCCTCTCCAACAATAGCTGGTGCATTTTTGGTTCAGGTGCAAGCAGCATATGCATTTCATAAGGCGAAAATCTAGAAAAATGCATAAACAGAAATTTCTGGACTGCGTTCCGCACTGCGCCGTGCCATCCTTAAAATGGAGCTGATACAAGAACACTTCTTTGCTATGTCCATTGCCGTTAGCCTAAAGAATATGGATCTTGATCAGTTTCTGATCACCAGAGACAATATACAAGGACAAAAAAGGGGATGCCAATTGTACCATCAAGGGAGAAAAGTCATGTATTTGATAATTAATCTTATATTGATACTCTTGTGTCTGTGTATTCATTGTATCTTTGATTCTAACACATCATGCTGCCAAACATAAGGGTGGGACATCAGTGACTAAAAATTCCTACTCTAATGCCTCATTCGAAAAGATCAAAGAATGCTTGCTAGTAATGTCAAAAAAACGGCCTGATTTGAATGAAGATCTCAAGTTTAAATTATACAAGGATGAAGTACAATGAAATCTAGAAGCTCAGAAGTTCCCTCAGTGTCAAGATGTTGGCTGCTCTTCCGCTTGCACTTCTTTCAAGTCTTCCGGTACATCCCTGAGGAAAAAGAGCAAAAACTTTAACTCAGACAACTCACAAAAGCAACAAAGTTAACAAGGCACTCAAAATATGTTTTATCAATCCCATGCAAGTAAAGACTTGCAGTTTCCATATTTAAGACATCTGCGCAAAATCCAAGCCCCTCACCCACATTCCCACCAATACGTCAAAAGCCTTAGGCCTTTAGCCCATGCCACACAAGCCCCAAAGCCAAATATGCTCCAAGAGTGGGAAAAAGAATAGGAAAGATGGATGCTCGCATGTGAAGCAAGATAACTTTCTTAACAAGACAATGGAAGAAGCAAGTGTTGGGCCAAGGAACTACTAATACAGTAACATGAATTACATTTGCCAAACCCAGAAATTTCCTTTTCTTAAACAAGTCCGTGACATCCTAAAAGCTAAAACACATTAAAGAGACCAACTGAAACCGAAAAAAGAACTAAAAATCAAAGCCAACTGAAGAGACCAGTATGCAAGATGCTTAGATGCCTCTGAATAAGGACTTAGACCTCATTGATGATAAAAGATTGCTCTATACAAAATCAATTATCTTCAACTATGGTTACCCAATGCAATCTTGGACAAGAAACACTAACATTTTCAAGATAAACAGTTAAAAGACAAAGCCTTACCTCATTTCAGCATCTGTTGTAGCCTGTTTCGCATCAGAACTTGAGAATCTGCACAGAGTTTTCTCATCATCTTCAGGATCTGACTCATAATCATCACCATTCCATATGCGAGGTTTTGGCCGTTTATCCATATCCTCTTCTGCCTGCATCCAACCAATATTCCATGTAAGATAAAAATAGAAAGAGAAATTGTCACAGATAATATACCAAAAAACAAATGAAGAAATTTGCTGTAGGCTAGAAACCTCCTCAGGGGCTTGGATGGTGGATGGTGTTGTTTGAAAAGGTACACTCGGTGCATGAGATAGTTTAGAAAGCTGCTCTAATAGTGTGTTCCTGAAAAAGAAGAACACCAAATTTAAATTCTATCAGAATAAGGTTACAAGAAGGTAAATATGATCATATTAAACGTGATGATAGAGAACCCTTCTTAACATATGCAATATGACTCTGAACAACAAAAAAGGTAAATGTAATGTCTGAGCTGACCTTATCTTCTCCATATCTCTCGGTGCATTCAGGTTCTCCATGTTACCTGGCGCAACATGAAGCGTATAATCTGGACCAAAATACTCATAATATTCATTATAAGGCAACTTATTATCAGGCTCCACCCCAACTGCAACGGCTGTCTGAGATGAAGTAAAAGAGGCAATTTAGAGGAACAATATTTCATCTATATTTTGCTAAAATTGTGTGTGAGTGAGAGAGAGAGAGAGACCTCATAGCACCAACATCGGGCAACATTCCGGATAGTATACCCTCCCCCACCCAAGACCATTAGAGGAACATTGAAAGATCTAAGGAAGCGAAGACAATCTGCATGTCCCTTCACAGACAAGTTGAAGCAACCCAACCTGTCACCAGACAACGAATCTGCTCCACATTGGAGAACAACTGCATCTGGCTGATACACTTCCATGACCTTTCGGATGATAGGCCGAAACAGACCCCGGAAACTCTCGTCATCCATCCCATCATTCAATGGAACATTCAAAGCGTAGTACTTCCCATTGCTCACCCCAACATCCCTGATGTGCCCAGTCCCTGGGAAGAAATCCCCAAATTTATGGAAAGACACAGTCATAACTCTGTCAGTGGTGTAAAATGCCTCTTCAACACCATCTCCGTGATGAACATCAATATCTACATACAGCACACGCTGCACAAGGATGTTGAAGTTTCAAAAACAAGTTTATTAAGACCAACATTTCATGAATATAATTTCATATTGCATTCTTGAAAAGAAAAAGGGGGTAAGAAGTTACAAGAATTCTAGAGACTGCAGAATAAGGTCTTTAAAAATTTTGAGCAATACCATAAGAACAGTAGTAAATCACGCAATAGAACACTACACATATAATAGTATTAAGAATTTGCATTTGGTAAAGAAATCTAAGCATGACTTTCACTGTTTTGCAATTCCACCACAGAATTCAGCAAGTATTTAAATGACAGTGAAAGAAATCATATGGCACATCCTCCCACAGTTGCAAAACACAGCATCACAAGAGAATTACCATATCTCCTTAAGAACTAAAAAGTTCAAGAATTACCAACTCACTAATAAAGTCCTAAACAGGAATCACAGTAAAAACCGCGGTCACTTCTAAACACTGAAATATGCAAAGAATCATATATTCATCTAACCGTGAAGAGCATACTAAGAAGAACGAAAAACTGAAGCTCACTAACCCTAATTTCCTATAGGAACAATAGCTACTAATCAAAATAAATAAATAAATAAAAGGAACTTAAACTAAAAAGAAAAATCATATTACCCTGTGAACCTTGAGGAGCTCAAGAATCCCAAGCACGATATCATTAACATAGCAAAACCCAGAAGCCTCACTTTTCTTAGCATGGTGCAACCCACCAGCCCAATTGATGGCGATGTCGGCATCCCCTCTATTCAGCTTAACGGCGGCCCCAATGGAGCCACCGGCGGAGGCCTGGCAGAACCCAAAAAGCCCATCGAACACGGGGCAATCTTCTCCGACATTAAAACGCTTCAAATGGCGAGAATAAGTGGGGTCGGAGATGGACTCGGGGCTGACGGAGTTGAGGAAATCGACGTACTCGTCTGTATGGAAACGGCGGATGTCGGCGGGGCCGGCGGGGAAAGGACGGTTAATCTCCATCCGACGGTGGAGAGAGTAGTGTACGATGAGGTTGTGTGCCATACGGATCCGGTGGGGCTTCATTGGGTGACCCTGACCGTAGTAGTAGTCGCCGATCGTTGGCTCGTAGAAGTATGTCACCCGCCGCTTCTTCGCGTCGGGTCCCGAAGGTAGTGACGCACCTCCGGCGGAGTCTTCCATTCGTAAGGATACCAACCAGGCGGTGTTCTTCCTTTTTGGGTATTTCCCTCCGTAGAAAGACGGACGAACCAAAAGGGTATTAGAGCAGAGACTCGCGAATCAAGAGATAAATGAGAAGAAATAATTAAGTTATATTCCAATTCAATTATAACCTAAAACATTTTAATTTATTTTTTATTTAATTATAATTGTATTAAATTATATTTAGTCAAAATAATTATGTTTTTATCAATTTGAAAAAAAATAGTGTTAAAGAAATTGATTAAAACAAAAAAAATAAAAAAAAGGGAAAAAAAAAACAAATTGAGGGTGTCTATAGTGTTAAAAGTAAACTTGGTTCAACTAGTAATTTTTTACGAGAAATAAATAGTGTTTTTAATATTTAACGAGGTAAGTTTGTCTCCAATAAAACATCATGGAAGATAATTACTTTTTTAATTAAATATATAACTTAATGTATTTAATACATAATTGAATTATAATTTCACCCAATCATTTAATTTGATTGTAATTAAATATAATCAATTTTTAAAATAATTAAAACTTTCAATCGTGTTTATAATTAAATATATCTCACAATTTTATAATTAAAAAAAAGAAAGAGTATGCGGCGAGTTAAGTATCACCGATCTCATATAATTAAACATCATAGATTTCGTTTTTCCCACTAAACCCTTATTATGGTATTTCTCTTACAAGTTTAGGTTTCTCTGTTGACGAAGGAAACAATATTTCTTTTCGGCATGTTTCCTGTCCGTACAATTTCAATTTGGCAGTCAACAAGATTGGAACTAATAATGAATTCGGTTTTTGGATTGATAATGTTTGGAAATGGGAGGTGAGACTTAGGAGTGTCAATAAATTGAGTTTAATCAACTCCTTGAAGATAAATATCTTTGCCCTGGTATGCAAGATAAATTGATTTGGAAATTTGATTCTAGTGGAAATGGTTAAGGATATGTGGAAAGCTGTATGGAGTGGGCTTGCTAGCTCTTATGTTATTAATGACAAACTTCTATTTAAAGTTGAGGCTGAGTTCACTAAAAGAGGAATCATTTGTGCTAATGCAATTATTTGTTTTCCTTGTCATAATGAAGCTGAGACCATTAATCACTTGTTTTTACCATGTTTTGAAAGCAGGAAGATCTAGTCATCTTGGTGTCGATATTGGGGGCTGCATTGGTCAACTATCTGGAATGCTAAACAATTTTTCTATGGACATCCCTAACTCTAATTCTGTAAGAATATGGCGAATGCGATTTTTTCTTTTAAGATTATATGGTCCTTATGATTATATAGAAATGACATTGTATACATAAATTTCTTGTCAAAAGTTCTTGATTTGAATATTATAAGACAAATACAAATATTTGATTTGAGTTATAATCTCTGGAAATTTCTTTGATTAATTTTTTCATTTCGTCTTCGAAGATCATGAACTCGAATTTTAATTTTGATCTTAAACTTTACTTAATCTTCGCTTCAAGAGTCTTCATGACTTGATCTTGATCACGAACACTTTATATCTTTACTTCAAGAGTCTTCACGACTTGAAGTTTAGCACAAACACTTGATATCTTAATTTCAAGATCTTCACGACTTGATCTTGATCATGAACACTTGATTCCTTATTTTAAGGATCTTCACGACTTAATTTTGATCACGAACTTCGCTTGATATCTTAATCACGAAATTCATTGTCACTTAATCTTTATCACTTGATCTTAACTTCAAAAATCTTTTACTCTTCTCGATCTCCAAAATGCTCTCGATCTTCGAATGCCACCTAATCTTCAAACACTTCCGAATGAATAAAAATGACTTAGAGGAACCCCATATTCATAATGCTAGGTGGGAGACTTTGATGAGAATGTAATCTCTTTGAATTATCTCTAAATTATTTTAATTTACTTAGAAATAAATTATGATCACTCATTGAAAGTCTTTTTATAGGTCGAATTTTGAGTCCTTGAATTTGGATTGGCCAAAATTAGATGTTCTCTCTAAATTATCTTAATTTATTTAAAGATAAATTAAATAATCCAATTTGATTTTTATTTCTAAATTAATATAATTACTAGAGATAAATTAAATGACCAATACTTAAATTTTGATTGGTTAAAAATATGAATATTATCTCTAAATTATCTTGATTTATTTGGAGACAAATTGGATGACCAATAACTAAATTTTGATTAGTCAAAAATATGAATGTTATCTCTAAATTGTCTTGATTTATTTAAAGAAAAATTATATGAATAATAATTAATTTTTAATTGATCCAATTTAAATTTTTTCTTCAAATTATCTCAAGGGATAAATATATAATATATAAATGAGTTGGTTTAACTATGTGTCTTTGAAATAATTCAACTAATAAATTAATTATTTTATAATTAATTACATGATTATGACATCATCAAATCCACATAGCAGCACGTAATTAACTCATAATTTTTCTCATTCTATAGACATTATCCTTGATGGTAAATAACGGAACAACTTGCAAGTTATGGAAATCATCAAAACATGAATTGCCTAGTGGGTCAAATCAAAATGGTTTGACCTAAACGTTACGATTTTAGATATGATCCATGATCCAAAGCTTGGTGTTGCTATTATTAGTTCCATCAACAAAAGCAAATCAATAATTGAATGGAAACGTCCATATCCTCGGCAGTTGAAATTTAATGTTGATGGGGCTGTTAGAGGAAATCCAAGAGAAACTAGTACAAGAGGTGTAACGATCCACTCCAATGACCATTATCGACGCACAAGTCACGTGGGTAAGCCCACACAACTTGACAATCCTTTCATTTATACAACACATTCTGGATGATACAGCTCCAAATTTAGTTAACAATATCTAAGGGCTTCGGCCTAAAATAGTTTTACATTATTTCTTTAAACTCGTAAATAACTCAACATCTAGATAGTAGAGCAACACAAGGTAAGGCTATGAGATGCCATTTACCTACATAGCAAACTAACGACTCTTCACCATGGCTGCTTCCAAAGTTTACGTATCTGCCATATCAACTTGTTAGGATGAGCCTTTCATACTCAATGAGTGGACAGGAAGAGAAACAAGCATTAGGGTAGAGCTTTTGATCAAACGTAAAAATAATAAATGCATATGACGAGATAAACTGTGCATAGAGATAATAAATCGTGTGCAAATCAATATAAGATATTTGAGTTTAAAACTCAAAATCAAATTACAAAGGTATTGTGTAAATTTCTTGCTCATTATAAACCGATTAACCATGACAATTTCGAGTATAGTAATTTCCAGTGCATCATGTAAACAAATAAATCATAGCTATAGTTTTCTTAAAGCAAGTATAATAGTAATGCCATATTCAATTAATAAAAACATATCAACTAAGGTATCCTCGGGTAAGTCTAATATAGCTCGTAAGCTCTTTTTTCTCATATCAATAACATCAACACCTACTCATGGGAACTCCTTACGCCAACAAATATAAGTCGGGACTTCAAGTCCCACTTTCCCTACTCGTAAGAACTCCTCACGTCACCAAATATAAGTCGGGGCTTCAGGTTCGCCTTTATTATCAAATATTTATCATCAATAATCACTACTTTATGCACAAAGACCACACAAACCTGGTGTGGTAACAAGATCTATACCCATAATGTTTACCCAACAAAATAATCTAATGGAATTTCAAATGCATATAGTCAATTAATGATAAGCTCATAAGGTATGCATGCATGTTTAAATTATGAAAACCGTAAGTAATATATAACCAAGTTCATCATAAAATCAGTGAACATTAAAATAGCAAGATCATGTATGAAAATCAATTAACATGGCATAGTTAAAATATTTAACTCAAGCATCATGAAAATTGCAATCAAGGCAGATTAGAAAAACTCAATAATGACCACTCTAGAGCCTTTGTACCGGAGTGTAACACATATAATTTTAAATGCTTCAAAACATAGTAAAAAAAAATCTGATCATATTTCAAGGGCTTGTTTCCCATTTTGTAAACAGCTTAATAGTTTTGATAGGCTCACAAAGACAACATGTATAAAACAAGCTTAATAATCATTCCTAGTCACTAACAGCTCATGTAACCCAATTGCAATCCAAATATAAACATCGAAACTCAATGTAATTGAACAATATCTAAACTGTGGGCATATCTAGCATATTTAATATATCATATTCACCATTCAATAATACTTTAAAAAAAAAATTGCCCACTCACCTTAATTGGTGGGACTTCTTGCCAATATTTTATCCACACTAAATGAAGGGTTTCAATTAAAAAGGTTCCAGCAACTTGTATTTTGCACCAAGTTCTTAATTAAACAGCTCTTACACCCCAATTCCTTTTTAGCAGTCAAAGTGTCAGCTCAAATATTTACTGGCAGCATACACAATGCCATTTCTCAGTACTAGATTCAACACTACACATTATTCAATTTGGGCAGCAAGCAAAACAGCAATTATATTTTGATTAGAGCTACTGTCTTACCTTCACAATCCGGCCAATTTCAAATACTAGTCCTCACTTAGTAAGTTCCAATTGCTATCTCATTTCTTTGTCAACCTCCTAACAATAAAATGGTTCAAGAACATTAATGAATTTCATCATCATTTCTCCGTGTATAATTTCAATAAAAAGGTTCAAACTTAAGTCTTATTTTCACTCACCGTTCTTACCCTCAGCCTTTAATCCAATTATTCCAACTCATCTTCAACAACTTCATTCAGCCGAGAGCCTCTCATTTCTGCATAATGAATTTGTCTCTTAGCATAAAACCCTCACCTTTCTTGGGCTATCAGTACAGGTTCACAAGGAAACTCACGGGCAACAACTTCTTTCTCTAGAATAATTTGCTTAAGGGTCACCTTAAACACAACCTCAAGCTATTTCTTAATTCAAATCTACCACCACAAGATCATAAATTAAAGCGTTAAGTTCTTTGAACCAATTGTTTAATGCTTAGATCAAAATTTCCTTACCTACACATTAAGTTTCCAGCATCAACCTTCCATTTGTGGGGCCTCAATCACTTCCAAAAATGGATTGGCAGCCTCGCTTTGGCTTTGATGAATCACACACAAGTTTTCTTCC